CTTCACGCGCTGAGGCTGAGGCGACGCTGTGGGCGGCCCGGGCTTTGTTCGCGGCGGAGACCATCTTTTTGTTTACGGCCCCTCCCTGCTTAAATATTCAAACTTTCCTTTTCAGAGCGGGGGGAAAGCTCTTCGCAGCATTCGCTATCTCCGAGGGGGGCTGCTGCGTTTTAGCGTGACTTCTTGAAGACGAACACCAGACCGGGCGGCGGGCCTCTGGGGTGTCAACCAGAGTGAATTTGTCGGGACCGAGAGATCTGTGACCACCACCGAAAATAGCAGCACGACATCTTCTTTTCAATCAAACCAAAATCACATCATCGCACAATGTTCTCACCATACAAACAAGCAATAAAACACACAGCACACAGTGTAACTTCTCCGGTTTTCAACTTATCGTTGAGGCGTTGGATTGCATATCTTTAGTGCACGCCTCATTAAATGAGATGTCTCTCCATGCGCGCGCGGCCCGCGGACCACCGGGCGCCACACAGCGCCCTTTCACTCCGCGTACCTATTTTTAAACGCGCGCGGCACCCACGCCTCCACCCACCCCCCTCTCTCCTCCTCCTCCGCCCCTGCCACACCACGACGACGACACGCTTTAGCCCAAGGCGCCTCCGAAGTGCCCTTCGTAGCCCGCCAAACGGGAGACCACGTGAAATAAAAAAATCACTGCAAGAAAGAAACCAGGTGTCGAACATTATTTACGAAGCAAAGTAAAGGCTTGTGTAAGAACTTCAAAAAAAGGATGGCATTAAATCTATATAGTGAGGCAGTTACCCTGAAAATCTCGACCTGGTTTGGAGTAATACGGCCAGAGTATCAGTCTAAAACTCTATTTACCACGGCTGCCAAGCACAAACGGGAGAGGGCCAGTTGCGCTTTAATTATATCCATCGCCTTTCCTCGTAGCCTTCTCGGAATTCCGTCTCGGTTTTGCGGTCTCGACTCCCAGCGCAGACGGCCTGTCGACTGGAGTGGTACAAACGCGTTGCGGCCCCTCTCATACGCGCACCAAGTCGTACATGTACGCAGGTGGTGGGTGCGACTAAGGTCGGACTAAGGTGTAATGTAACCTTAGGTTGTAATGTACAATGTACGGAGAGTCCCCCTCCGTCCTGTCGGCCCAACAGGTGCCTCCTCGGGTGGCCCGCGAGGCCGCGAGGCTCTTTGCCGGCAGGCTTCAGCCCGAGGCCTTGGCCCCGCCCCGCCCTGCCCCGCCCGGCCCCGGGGCGACCTGAGCTGCGCCGGCCTGCAAACTGCTTCCCTAACGATGACGCTACGCGGCGCCACGCCCCCATCTCTTTCGCGATGCCTCGGCAACGCTACCCGTTTACGGCACGAGGACGACCCCTCCGTCATTAATGTAAAGACGCGAACACCCAACGCCCGCATCCCCCGCCCCCTCCCTGTCCCCCCTTCACACCCACTCTGTATACCGCCACCAGGATGCTCTACTCTGCTCGCATATATTCACTCTGTTCAAAGATTACATGACAGCGATTAACAAGTTAAAAGTAAGGTTTGCGGTTTACATTTTCGTGGTACAAAGTACACTAACATGGTCTTAAAGGCAGTGAAAATATACAGTGATCTTCAACTACACAGCGAGACCGGCCCAGGCATCTTACGCCTCAGCTGCACCTATTTACCACTGCACCTTGGTGCAATACTTTTGACACAACGATGCGTCTTGCCTGAGTCTACTTGGCAGTGCCTCTACTAGCAGCCTCTCAGTAGTCTTTAGGCGGTCTTTAGGCGGTCCTTCCAGACCGTCCTCCGGCAGTCTCCCGGCCGCCTGGGCCCGCCGCGGAGCCCGGAGCCAGGTGGTCGTCAATGCGCGCCCAAGTTGCGGAGCGCCCTCAGTCTCGGCGTTTCACTGCCAATTTATGCAAATGACATCGCTCCACTTCCTGATAAACTCGGCAGAATACACTTGCGTCCTCCAGGCACGCGGGCGAGTGGGGTGGGTGTAAGGGGGAGGGGGGGCGAGCGGGGGGCTGGAGCAGAAAGGACCATGAAACCTCTGCTTCTTCGTCTTACGCGTCCTCCTTTGAGCACGACGGACCACGAAGACGTGACTTTTATACAGTATGTCTCCCTCCGCGGGGTCTCCGTTTCGTCGCGCCGCGCTACGCAGCGGAGCAGGCGAGAGGGGTGACTGACTCTGAAGCTGTGCCTCTTTCTCTTCTCCATCCTTGTCAATCTCGTGAAAAGGGACTTGGAAATCAAAATTTGACTTGCTATACTTCTTTTTGTTATTTTTTTAAAAATTGGAAAAAAAGAGCAGGTTCATATCCCGCACCACACACACAACGCGTCGCGGGGGGCCGTGCAGCGGCCGGGTCCGTCGCGGCCGGCGCCCCCCGTGGCATGGGGAGGGGTATTCTGGGCGAGATGGGAGCTTACTGTCTCTGTCGCCCAGCCACACCCCTGGGAGGGCCGAGCGCGGCCGAGCGAGGCGGCCGAGCGGAGGGGGACCACCACTCCGGATCACAGGCGACATCAGCTCTTCGGCAACGCATTGACAGAGAGAAAGGGTCGGGGTCGTTCTAAGAGCAGCGTCCCTCCCTCCACGGCGGCGGGGCGGACAAACTAAGCTATTTCGAGAAACAGAGCCCGCCTAAAGTTGTTGGTCTTATATCGTGCGACGTTTCCCCGCCCCCCCAAAAGGGGACTGAATGTCCAAATACCCAAGAGCCGTCGAAGCGTCCCCACGCGCCTGTCCCCTGTCCCCGAAAATCTGAACTGTCACACACGGACGGGGCTCTTTTTTTCGGCGCGTGTGTGTGTGCTCTTCCTCCCCGACGCCCCACGCCTACCCCGCGTACCACTGCGTTCCCCGGCGCGCCACGAGGCCCACTCGCACACTGAACGCAGCCGCTCGGTACTAATTCGTCTTTAGTCTTTAGTTGAACAGGGCCTAGTGGGGTCGGGTAGGGGGTGGGTGGGTCTGGAACCACCTCCGGGGCACAGTTTACTCATAGGTCGCATCCCAAAGGGAGAGTGAAAAGGGTTAGCGGGATTGTGTCACGACGCACTTCCACACATACCTTATTCAGACTGCTCTCTTTCGAATGCGTAGCCTACAGCGGACGCAAGGGCAAAGTAGGACGACTACGACTCGAGAAAAGAAGAACTAGGATTTCGGTAAGCCTCCTTGAAGCTCGGGTGCAGAGACCGTGACCAGCGCAACGAGGGTTTGTCACCGCAAGGTCAGCTGCGCGGCCTGCGGGGCCTGCGGGCTACAGAGTGAGCGAGACAGAGCGAAGCGAGGAAAGAATGAGGCCGTAGACCTCCCCCCCCCCCCCCTTCTGATTCACTCGCTCTCTCGTGTTAAGCCCGCCGATCGCGTTCTCGCGTTCTCTCTCTCTCTCTCGAAGAGCTTAGGGACGGGCCCCGCGACAGGTGCTGGCCCGCGCCCCCGGCCGCCCCCGGGTCCCGGCTCTGCCCCCGGCTCTGCCCCTCTGGCTGCGCGCCAGACAGGATCTACACCAGGAGACGTCACGCACAAGACCGCAACTGAGAGGGGAAGAGGAAGGGGGCAATGGGGGGGAGGCTGAGGGTGCAGGGAGCGGGAAAGGGGACAGCTGTCGAAAAAAACAATCAAAACAAGGGGTCGAACCTCTTTCCTTTTGTAACCAAGCCCGTTAGAGGTAGATGGCTTTGCAAACACAATTTACCTCTAAACCCGATTAGGGTAGTTCCTTCGAGGTACCGGGCCGCGCCCCTGTTGAGCCCGCCAGCTGTTCGTAACCCACAAAGCGAACGGAGCCAGCGCCACCGACCGCCACTTGAGTGGTGGGCGCAGGACTCCCACCCCTTGTACTCCTCTCCAGCCTCCTCTCCAGGTCCAGGTCCCTTCTGCCGACCCTACTCCAGTCCAGCACCAGGGCACGACCGCCAGGGGGTCCTCGACATCGCGCACGTTCTTCTGGGTTACACGGGCGGATTTCTGCGCCCGCCCATGAACAGAACCGTCGAGGGTCGTCTCATCGTCTCATGGCCACATGGTGGCGTCGAGACTCTCAGTAGTCGAGCGGGGTCATGAGTTTACCCTTTTCGACTATTCGACCTCTTCATTTTGATTCCACGATAGTTTTGTGCAGGTTATCTTTTAGTCCTCGCTGAAACGAAATGTATCTTTCAAACAATCTTAGTTCTACCCTTATGCAGAAATGATTCCAGGCAAGGGGGAAGAAAATAAGTTTGAGCTGGTGGTTCGAAAGTGTATGAGAAAAGACGCCAGGGGAAGCCCCATCTGAGTATTGCGGCAGGTGCCAGCAAGTCCGCAATATTATCATTCGATTTCCCTCCGCCATTCTTGTGACTTGTGAGTCGCAGTCGGGGGTGGAACTTCCCCCCACCCGAAGGCGCGCAGAAAACGTCTCCAGCGCTCCAGCGCCACATTCTCTTTCTGAAGCGGTCCAAATGAAATCTCTCCAGACGCCGCACAATAATATGAGATATGAACAGCGGAAAAAGGGTAAATTATTTACTAAAATCGAGATACTCAAGTTCACATAACAAGTAGAAAAAAATCCTCGGATACAGAAAATCGACAATCATTAAGAGCGCTTTCCTTCTACCAATATTTCGCAATTCATTCAAATATCCTTATGAACAAAAATGACCCCCCCTTCCCCCCGTGTTTCTCCATCCCCCAAGAGAAGAAAAATATTCTTTGGCTGCTGTCTGGTCGGCCCAGCACTTTTGGTGTTCGGGTCCCACGGCACCGCCATTGCCGCTTACGGGACCCGAAGAACAAAGTAATGCTGGGACGTCTATACAATGTTTACTTACTTCCCCGTCTGTTTATCGCTGAGGCGGTGAGGTGAAATATGCGGGATGAAGGGATCGGAGAAAGTGTGTTTGATCACAACTCCAGGGGTATTTACCGTGTCTGGCAATACTCCCTGATCGCCGAGTAGCGCGGAGTAGCGACGTCAGTTATGACGTCACGGTTCACTGCTTCGATCCCTCGAGTTGACTGTCGAGTCGAGGATCGTGTGTGGGGGGCTCAGTTTGAAATTTGAAACATCAAAATGACAGCTGCTGTGAACGCAACTAACTAACGTTGACCTGTAATGAAGATGAATTAATTTGATGTAATGAAGCTTTCAATAACTTAGGATAGAGGAGTCGGTTAGTATTTTCTTCCCTTGTTGCGACAGTTTAACATGAAAAAGAACGGAAAGCGTACATAGCACCCGGCATTCCTAACCTAAGTATGTTTTGTTTATTTAATCAATTATCTGGTATTGCTCTTTTATTACGTTTTTTCTCTGTGCTATTTCTTTCAATAATTATTTCACCGCTTTGAAGTGTGACTGAATTGAATTTTTAAGGTTATAGTGCTGTTTTTATTGCTGTTTCATGAATACTTGTAATTGAAAACATGAAAGTGATATCTTTTATTTATTTTGTTGACCAGGTTTTAAGAAAGTGTTCTAGGACTATTGCTCGTAATACTTTTGATACAGTAACTTTAGAATGGCTGAACTTGTCAATGTATGTCATACTGACACCAAAAAGTTTATCTGAATGTTCGCGTTGCCTTGTTTTAGAGAAGTGCTCCAAAAATGGCTGGGGACGGTAGCTGCTGCAACATGAATGGGTTGGAGCGCCGCTACCACAGTCTACGAGCTCATCTTGATGAACTAGGATTCCGACAACCCCTTGCCATTGAGTGTGTGCCACTTGTGGAAGCACTCTTTAAAGACCTTTTGCATACTACATCAAGTCTCGAGAACTATAAAAAGCAAGCTCAAGAATTGGATGAGGTAAGTGGCTTCTACGTGTACCTCTTATAATAGTTCTGATGTATTATTTTGGGGAACCGAAAGTCTTATAAAGTCACAGAGGATCAAATCATTATTGACAACAGAGAATCCCATCTAATAAATTTCTGTTTATGTAAATGAAGCCAGTAATAAATTCAAATGGTCTAAGAGAAGGGAAATCATGATATTCATTATTTTAAATATTAATTCAGAGTCCCACTAAATGTTAAGTTGGAATTTGCTGGGATAAAACAACTGAACATTTATCAGAGAAACCGGACCATCTTACTTAACTCTTTGCCATGTTGTATATTATGTGCTTGGTTTGTTATTTATTTAACCAAAAGCACGAATGTGTAGGTGCTATATTCTAAATCTGGAGCAATAGGCGATGGTGGAGATGCCAGCACCTCTCACGGTGCACCCCCGTGCCCTGCAACGGTACCCATTGGCCCAACCCCGCTGCCCCGTCCGCCACCCCCGCCGCCCCTCCAATCGACCGCGGTCTGGGAAGTACGCGAGGACGGCGGCGGCGAGCTGGAAGGGCGTTACACAAATACACGAGCTGACCTCTGAGGGGAGGGTGGAGTGAGTCTTTGGGGTAGTAACTCTGAGAAGTCCTCGACTAATCAGTGGTGCACCTGTGTCTACCCGCGCCCTCGCTTCTCCGCCGCTTCAAGCCAAGGCCGCAGGGGCGGAGTTGTCAGGCTGTCAGCTGCTCAGCTCCTCACTTGGGGGGCACGCCTTTCATTTCGCCGAGGCCAAACCGCTCTCAGCCACTCCTGCACCTTTTTACTCGCTTTCACCCTCCCTTGGTCTCGGTTCGCGTCGTCGGCTGGATGCAGAAAGCTCGTGCTTTTCGATGCGACCCTGCGCGCCCCGCGGCCACCCTGATAAGGTCCTGGGGGGTCGGTGGGAGGTAGGGGGGGGGGGGGCGGAGGGTAGCGTGATAGCAGCACCCTGCGTCTGGAGGCCACCGCCGAAACGCGGCCGGTGGGTCGCCCTGTCTTGGCCCTGTCCGCGGCCCAGGGCGCTTTCTGTGTTCCACACGCCACCCCGAATTCCGCCCAAGAGAATGATATTGTTTCGTGTTTCGCCAACTGGCGTCTGGCGTGTCCCGGCAGGGCCCGGTATGCCGCCGGGTCGTGCGCCGGGAGTTGGCGTTACCCGCCGCGTTACCTGTAGCTTCCCCTCCGCCCCCATTGTAGAATGTCAGGCGACGGAGTCGTTGGTTTTATGACTCGTGCGACGCTTCTCCCTGTCTCCGCCCCCCCCCCCCCCCCCCCCCCCCCTGCACCCTCCTCAATCAGCCCCGTCACTTTTTCTTTTCACCATGGTTCCTGATGCCCGCCCGCGCCTCCGCCGTATTGCCTTGCCCCCGCACGGGCGCAACCCCCCGGGGCGGCGTCGTGCAAGAGTGCTTGAGAGAGACTACTTGGCGGGGGGCTTCGGGACTCACCCTCCACCTCACACCCACTGCGACCTCCTGGAACTGGAATGAGCAGCTCTCCGTGAAGGGTACGACTGCAGCCCTGTGTGAAAGGTCTACCTGGAAACACACGGGTATGTATTCGGTTCCCTTCCTGCACCTGCACCTGTCGTCTCTACTCTCCCAGTCCCCTCTCCTCTCGGAAGGAAGTACGAGGCAAAACGCCACGGACCTGTCGGACATGCGGAAGACAGAGCGCCCTCATCCCTCACGGGCGGACTGGTGGGGGTGGGGCCACTCCCTCTGCGCACTGCGCGGCAGCACCGCACAGCCAGCCGCCCGTCCCGCTTTGCGGGGAAGTGCCGCCGATCAGCTGACGACGCGACGCCCATGAGCGGCCGCCCCGCCAGCAGAGAAAGGGGTTGGAAGCGACGGCCAATAATGGCACCTTGCGACCTTCCTCTCGGAGGTGAGGTTATGGCCTGCAGCTCTGCTCTGTTATTCATGTCGGCCCCGCAGTCGGGCGGCGCCGTGTCAGCGTAGATCCTCGTGGTCGTGGAGTGGAGGGCCAGTGCTGCTGCTCCCCATTCCAGTGAGTGGCCCGCCGCCCCCGCCCCCGCCCGCCGCTGCTGCAAGTCATTGGGAACGCATCCGTCCGAGCGCAGGTGCGTCGGGGGCGCTTGTGCACGCGTACACACACTATCGAGGTGCTCCATGGGCACGAATGACCCCTCAAAAAAAGTGTCCGTAACAACTACTGGTTTACGTGGAAGACCTCGATTTAACGTAAAATAAGAATGCAGTGCCTTAATGATTTTAAAGCTAATGTGTGTACGTAAAATGTTCAAACTTTTTGGTGTACATGGGAACAGCATAAACGAGTTTTGCGCCCCTGGAGGGCCTGACGCTCCCAGCGGCGAGCGTGTAGCGTGCAGGCGCAAGTATGCGCGGAGTGGGCCGGTGTAGTTTGCAGAGCCGTCTGTGGTCTCTGATGTTGTCTCAAGTAGTATGAGCAAGTAGTATGAGCGACGAGCCCGGTGGCGGGTAGCGCAGTGGCGCGGCAGGGCGCGGGCGCCTATACGCGAGGCGAGGTATATGGTGTGTGGTTTGTCTTTGGGGTTGGCGCGGTGGCGTGGCGTAGCGGATCGATGGGGGCGGGCCCAACGCTGGCGGCCGCGGGCCTCCGCCCTCAGCCCCGCGGCCGTAGCGCAGTGCTCAAAGGGAAGGGCCGGTCGCCGCACGGGAATCGGATCGAGCTCCGGGGAATGCCATCGCGAGGCCCTCCGCGCGCGCGCTCCCTCTGCCGCGGCCCTGTCTGGGTGGGGTGTCGCCCGGAAGGGTTGACAGCATCCGCCGCGACGCACTCGGGGACGCCTCGCCATGACCCCCGACCCTCCCGGGCACCGCGCTCGTCCTCGCTCCGCGGACGGCAGGTCCACCTCCGGCGGCCCGGAGCGGGCGGACGACCTGGCTCCGAACCGTAGGCGCGTCGCAATCAAGTGCCTAGCGGTATGGGTGCAACGCAGACACTAGAGATTGCTTACCTACTTTGCTACCTAAGATTAGTCATCCTACTAATCTATCTTGGCGCAGACTTTGCGGTATCGATGGGTACTCTAAGCTGCTGTAGCCCCCCCCCCCCCCATCTCTATCTCTCCTCATTCCATGGCATTCCCTCACTGATATTGCCCTCCCATTTTGTTTCCAGCAAGTTCGAGTGTTGAATAAAGGTGTCCAGCCATTTCGCACGGACAACGAACGCCTCGTACGGCAGATTACGGAATTAAACAAGCAGATCACTAAAATCAAAGAGGAGGCAGAATCATCAGTTGGTGGTATGTAAATGTTTTTTCCGCGTAATGTTTGCATCGGGTTGATTTAAAACTAATTATCTTTTTAATTTTTTCGGTTTTGATTTGTTTTGTATGCAGATGCTAAAGCTCGGTGTAGGAAACTTGAACATGAAAATGCTGATCTACAGTTCCTTGTCAGTCAACACCTGTCTCGAATTAGAACCTTAGAGGTGGAGTCAACGGAGAAGTCGAAAAAGCTTCTAAGCCTTCAAAGTGCACCTAGTATATCAATAGGTAATTTGATGTACCACAGTTCATTTTATATGTCCATTCTAAAAATCTTCTACAATATTTATATCTTACCCCTGAACAGGAAAGAAAAAATCAGGACTTAATTCTCAGACAAAAGTTGAGATTTTATCTTCAATTGGCCCTTCTAAAAAGCAACCCCCAGGTCGACCATGGCTTGATGTGTTTAGTGGTGCCTTAACTCAAACTGAAGACCCATTTGTTGTCAACATGGTGGATCGATCCCAAGCTGAGTTGCGAGCTGCTCGTTATGAAATGAAATTGTTGAGAGAAGAGAAAGAAAAACTTTCTGAAACAATTTCTTCTTTAAAACAACAGGTGAACTTTTGTTGGTTTGGACCAGTTAAAAATCCAAACTGTTAAAATAAACAATTATGTTCTACAATTTTATGTCTTAACAGGTTCGTGATAGGGATCTGGATATAGCTAAACTGCACACACAAGTGGAGAACAATCGGTGTCATCCTTCAGCTCGTGATCCTGAAATCATGAAAGATGACTACACCATTGCCAATCTTAGGGCAACTATTGTCTCACTTGAGGACTCAAATAATAATTTACGCACCCAGCTTCAAGGTTAGTCTGACTTTCTTGTTTGGTTTAGTTGGAAATCTTTTTTTTCTTAGCTTGTCAGGATGCTTTGATATCTTTTGTTTGTTGTAGATGCATTGCGTAAACAACATGAGGCTATGATGAGAGCTGTACACCTAGCAGAGCGTAATCAAGTTCTCACAAATGAAATTAGAAATGTGGATAACGTAGCAATGCGTGTGGAGGATTCTTGTAACCATACTGTCAAAGAAACATCACAGAGAATTATAGACCTCCAGGTAATCCTATCAAAATCTGGAGTTTAGTTACATATACAGTTTGTACTGTTGGCTGTTAGTTATAATCATTTTATTTTATTTTTAAATGAAGGAACAACTTTCACACTACCAAAAGATGGTTGCAGATTTAGAGAGAACTGGTGTTGAAGCTAGATGTAATGCACAAAATTTGTCAATTGATCTAGAGAAATTAAGACTTGAAAACAAACATCTTCTTGAAACTCAACAGTTTAGAAATACACAAAGTCATTTGCAGACTGATAGAGTTGAAATGTCTCGACAACAACATATTGGTATGTACCAAACAGTATATTGCTTCTGATTGTTTATCACATAATATTTTGACTCACTAATACTATATTGTTTTGTGTGTAGAGAAAGAGTTAACCAAGGAAATTGAGAATTTGGTGGCTGCAGTGACCTATCAAAAACAGAAAATATCTGAACTTGAAGAAAAAGTTGCTCTTACAACTGCAGAAAATCAAGCAGCTTCCAGTGCACCTGTGTCTGGCACTGGTTCTGGCAGTGCAACCTCTAAAGGTTCCTCCAACTCTAGCTCTGGAAGATCAGGTGTAGCAACTGTGAGTATACTAAGGTTTTCTCAATTTTTATCTCAATTTTTGCTTTTGATTTTTTTTTTAAATGTAAGTTTGTGATTACGGCTTGGCATAATTGGAATGTGTATTTAAGGGTTCTTCCAAAGATGAACGTTGGTTAAACATTCCAAAGATTTCTTGCCATGTCTCCCCAAAATCAGCTAGTAGCAAGGTACAATTTTGCGTAATTGAGTTTGAAATCCGGTGAATTATTTAGTTTCTATTGGGCTTTGCTTCTTTTCACTACACTAGAGAAACAGCTGCACTTCTCCCACCCTTGTACTTTCCTCTTCACTTCTGACTACCAACAAGGTTCGCCAAGTGATCCTATCTAATAACTGGCCTGTTTGGGCTCTGATTGTAATTTACTGAATTATCTGTCAGACAGCCTGGCCTGGCAGGAAATCTACCCCTGGTGTGGGCTTTGATAATGGTACTGATTCAAGAGAGCACAGACACATTCCCAAGGAAAATATTTATATTGATGTGGAGGTATGAACTCTCCTTTCAGTTGTGTGTGTCATGCCATTATCTCACTCCAAGTGCTTGTTCAAACTTTTAGTTTTGTTTTAGTCCTCCCTCAGTCAACACAGCAGTCACTCTGCATCAGAGCCTGCATCAGTAGCGTTACAATCACCTATTTCAGTCTCTCAAAGAGCTAGTGAATTTACAACATCCAGTGGGAAGGTACTGCTAGAGTTAGAGATTTTTTCTTACTTTTCAACCTTCCTACTTATTTTATTATTTACAGACAAAAAGCACACTCTCAACAGTTTTGTCTATCGATCAGGCAACTGTTTCTACTGAAGAACCTACACCTACATCTTACACAACTTCTACCATTGATGCGCCTCCTCAGATTGAAATTGAGGAGGTAATTTTTGATTTATCACAATTTGTTTTCAAAACTTTCTTCTTAAAAGAAATTTTACTACAGTATTTTAGTTTTTGGTTTAGAATGTATTATTTTTTTGGCAGGAAACTGTCAAAGACCATGGGTGGCACAGTGCTGACAGGTACCCACGAAGTGAAGGACAGGTATGCTACTGCATAACCACCTGTTCTTGTATCGTGATTGTAAATATTAATGATATAAATTCCCACAGTATAACAACCCTCGTAGCAGTACAGATAATTTAAATGCTTCACGGTTACCCCGTAATCGCATGCCTCGCCAGGTAATATACTCCATTCAATATGTAGAAACTGCCCCCAATGCCATATCTGGGAGTTACCCTGTCTTCCTTGCAGCTCACGACAATCAGCAGCCTGACGGCAGACTGGGAGCTTCACTCTAGGCCACACCTTGTCCTTCGACATATGGCAACCTCGCCTGAATTCTTGTCCACGAACGCAAATCCTGCCCCCTCTGGAAGAGCGTCACCTTCACTGCGTGATTCCGAGTCGTCCCACAGTGCAAATGTGTCCAGCTCAGGGAATACCTCCTGCAGCAACACTGTGGACAAGGTGGTCGACATCTTCTCCATATTAAGGCATTCGTGACGTGACCGGGTTGGGTTGTGCGTGTCCTGTTACCCGGGGGGCTGTTCTTCCCCTTACAGAGCTACTCCCTGAGCTCCACCAGCGAGTCAGACGCAACGGCGGGGACGCGCGAGCGAAGCCGAAGCACGGAGTCGCGGCGGCGGAAGGTACACGAACACGAAGTTCAGCGGCTGGTTGTTGAAGTCGACTTGCCGGACTTCCCTCGATTGATAAGCTGCCCGCCACTCCCTAGTCGAGCCCTCCGTCGCATCCTCCCCCGCCGTCGGTGCCGGCGAGTCGGATGTCCAGGGCCTCCGTGGGTCCGACGGCGAGCCTCCCCTCGCGCAAGGCGCGGCACGCCGTGGACGAGCGCCCCGAGGGCCCGCCGGGGCGCCGGCACCGCGCGCACAGCAGGGGCCGCGGCTCGCACGCCGACGACTCGGAGTCGCACCGGCCGCCCGCGCGCGCCACCCGGTCGGGCTGGGTGCTCCAGGAGCAGGCCGTCGAGCTGCAGCAGCCCGGGCCGGGACAGCGGGTCCTGACCCGGGAGCAGCTCTACCACGCCGCCGTGCAGGTGCCTTCCCCCTCTCGGCACCCACCCCCGTGGCCCCCCGCGGCCCCCCGCGGCCCCCCGCGGCAGTGATGTGCTCACGCCCCTCTACCGTAGGCCGCGCGCGGTCATTCCCCGTCGGCCCCGGCCGGCGCCCCGCAGAGCACCCACAGCACGCAGACGGCGTGGAGGGCGGAGCTGGAGAGGAGCCCGTCGGCGCAGACGGTGCCCAGGGCGGCCAAGAGCCGCCGGAGCGTGGCGGTGAGCGTGAGCGTGCCCGAGGCCACCGGGAGGGTGCGAGTGAGTGCGAGGTCGGGGGGCTCGAATAACATCGATCCAACTGCGCGTGTCTTTCAGACGGAGAGCGGCTACAGCTCGGGGCCCGGGCAGGCGAGGGCCGCCGCCAGCCTGCGGTCGGGGAGCAGGAGCAGGCCGTCCAGCAGGCAGTCCTCGACGGCCGTGGCGACCCGCGGCCGCGCCCAGGTCACTCCATTGTCCTGTTCGGGGGGCGGTCGCAAGGACTCGTCGCGAACCCGTTAAAAAGTGCGTGCCTTCGTGTTCCAGCTGAGGTCTCCCGGCAACTTGTCCTCCCCTCGCTCGCCTACCCCGGTCCGCCGGTACAGTCGCCTCCTGTCCCCGCAGTCCCCCCGCTCTCTGCCACCACCGCGTCGAACCCCCATGTCCCCACCCCCTCACCTCTCCCACCCCTCGACTGGGGGCCCATTACTTCACATGGTACTGGCTGTGCCTATCATTGTGATAGATTCCCGCTTCATCATCCCTCATATGTTACGCCTATGTCCCTAATGTTTCTCTTTGTGTGTTACAGAAGAAGCAATCCACTGCCAAGAAGACTGTTACTCATGCTCCTTCCAGCAAAAATCCAAGTGGAGACAATGGCAAGGTATGTTTTTTTGTTATTTCGAGTTCAACTTTACTCTGCAGCTACTGTACCTTTTAAACACGGGCAATGTTTTTATTATGCCTCAGGCTCGCTCATCAAACCGAAGTGCTGGCATCCAGACAGACATGAAAAGGATAGACTCTAAAGAAGTTCAGGTACTTCAATTTTGCTGACTAGAGAGACTAGTCTCATACAAATTCGTATTTAGCTTGCATATCAATCAGGGATTTTGATGAATATTTTTTTTTTTTGGACTAGGTAAATCTTCGGCATGAGCCTCCAGAAAGAGAGACTGCACAATCATATTCTGGTGATAGAGGAGATAGGTACAAAGAAACGGAGTACAGAAAAGAGAAGAGGAGGGACTTTAAATCAAAGAGGGAGGAGGAGGTGGAAGAATATACTAGTGAGAGGTAAAATTGTTGTCAAAAAACATATCCTAGATTTGTTCTTTTGGTTTGCAAAATTTATTTTTAATTTTTTTTGTTACTAGATACACTGAAGAAGGTCAAGAGAGATGGAGTCAGGAATCAAGAAAAGATCAAGAAAGAAGGGCAAAAGATAAGAGTCGGAAACAAGATGACCATGGTTCTGATAGATCCCAACCAACACAGAAGGTATGTGGTCAGACACACAATATGTAATTTGTAGTACTGTAAGCTGTGAGGATCAAAATGCATTTTAACCAACATGCATATTGGCAGAAACCATGGCGATCAAAAACTCAGTACCAGAGCCTGCACCATACCAATACCAACATGTTCCCCCAGCCTCTCCCACCCTCCCATTCTCAAAGCTACAGTGCAACTGATGGAGATTGCTCAGTTTAATGTACTTGAAAATACTAGCATTATTGGGCACTGAAAATGCAGCTGATAGTTTCTGTCACATTTTTATCAAGTTCTGATATTGTTTTCAGGTTGACAGAGGTAGTCAGAGTGAAGAAGTTGGACCAAGCAAATCTAATGCTAGCCAAAATAATAATAATATTAATCATCATCATCATCCATGTATGGATGGTGCTGGTGATGGACCTTGGAATGTGAAGGTAAGTCAGAACACATATGCAACAGTGTTATTTAGTAATTAGAAAATCTTGTTTGAAGTAACATGTGCTACTATAGGCAAAAACATCTGGTGGTAGGAGTGAAAAGAAGTGGCCTGGCAGTGGCAGTGGCAGTGGCAGTAGTGGTTGCCACAGTAGCAGAACCACCATCAGTGTTTCGAACAATTATACTTCTTATCTGCAAGGGTACAAAAAACGATCTTTTAAGAACTGCAGAGATAAAAGTTAAAATGTTAACTTCTAGTCGTTTTTTTTTTTTTAAATAATGTAACCAATTAAGTTATTACTCCATCTATCATCAATTCCGTATAGTTTTAAAGGTTTATGAACTGGTTTTCTTTTGCTACATGATTTATCTGTGTTGAAAAATGTATTAATAGGAATAAAATGTTGGGTAGTTGAGTTATGCATATCTTATTTCAACACAATCAGTGTCACAAGTTTTTAACTAAATTTTTAATACCCCCTTCTTTTTGTGTATTTTGATAGTCGCCTCCAGATTTATGTCCTATTATTAAAACTCTTGAAGCAGAACGCAACTTTTTTGAAAAAGAGTATCTCAGAATCCGAGAATATCTTGACAACTTGCCTGAAAAACTTGGTGTAAGAATATTGTTTATTAAAAATCTGAATAAAATATATAGTTTATTTGAACCAAGTATTTAAAATAATTGTTTCTTCCTCTCAGAGCACAGATTTGTTGTGGAAGTTACGAGAAGCTCATGCTGAACTTGACGTGCTGAGAGCTGAAAATCATAGACTTTCTAAGGAAGTTGCTGATTTGTCTGCTGTTTACAAATGTGAAGCTGCAGATAGTCGATCTCACTCAGATGCAAACCGGGCTCTTGCAGAAAAGGTAAGCACGCACTTACCATAAATGGTGTCATTATTAGAGGGGCATTGTTGTCATAGGAACAGAACACATCTTTTCATTTTATTTACTATCAGACTTTTACTTTTTAAACTGTGAATGAGCATTAGAGCATTGTAATATTAAGTAAGCTGATTTGATTGATGATTGGAAAGCTCACTGTATATTGTGAGATCACCGCGGTTAATCTGGTTATGTTTTGCAAATTTTTATTTGTTTCAGTATACTAAGGTTCAGCAAAGGCTGGCTGAAAAGGAGAGGGAACTGCTACTTGTGTGTGAAGAAAACCATTCTTTACTTACTGAGAGGGATTCCCTACGTCTTCTTGCACAAAGAGAAAGTCATGAATGTGAAAGATTAAGTAATGACATCCATTCTCTTCAACTAGAAATTGATATTCTTCGTGCTAAAAAGTCTGCTGATGTAGAAAAAGATAAACTGATCGAAGAAAACCGTTCACTTCAATTAGAAATAGGTGTACTCCGTGGTCAGAAAGAAGGAGAAAAAACTCTAGACCGTGAACGAGAGAGGGAGAGAGAAAGACTAGCAGAGGAAAATAGGAGACTTCGTGAAACTATTGAAACTTTAAAAACTTCTACAATGTTTAACTCTTCAGAGAAAATGTGCTATGACCAGCCACAACAGTCTGTAATGGTAAGTGGATATTTGACATGTCACTAGAATTGGTCCCCTTTCCATCTTCAATGGCACTGTTTAGGAGGTGCTGAGACGCTTGCAGAGAGATGGCTTTGCTGCCCGAGATGATGTACAGCGAATGACAGCAGAGCGAAATGCAACTAGAGAGCACATGCAGGTCCCCTGAAGTCCATTAAATCCATGTTCCTTTCCCATTTCTTATACCTATGTACTAATTTTGTGTTGCCTCTTTAATTAATAATGATTATTTGTGTTTCTCTAAAAGGCTGTTGTTGATGCTCTCCACTCAACTCAAAAACGTGTCTGGGAACTCGAGTCAGATGGTAGAGATGCTAGTAGAACATTTGACAGAGAAGTTCTTGAGCTACGGTCCCAGCTTTCTGCTCGAACCAAACAACTAGATGCCGCCACTCTTCAGTCAGAAGCAGCTAGAACTCGTCTGACAGAACTCCAAAACTCTTTAGCTCAAGCAAATGCTAATCATATGAAAATGAAGTCAGTAAAAAAATTATCACTTTGTTTTATTTTTTATCATCTACTTCAAGACATAATGGTGAAAATTTTTTCTTTTACAGAGTTTTGCTGGAGGAGACAGAAAGAAGTTTGGAGCAAACACAGAATGATTTAAGTAGACTTCAGACAGATTCTGTTCATCAACAGGAGCGAATTCAAAAATTGGAATATGACCGCGCTGCCTTAGAAAAAGAAGTGAATTCCCTTCGCTCTGAAGTACAGAGACTACATGGTTCCATCAATGATCTTGAAAATGAGAAAGATGAACTAATAGTAAGAACAATCATGTAGTTAAACATGATTAAAAATGAAGACTATAAGGTCAAAATTGTTAAATTCTTGTTGCTTTTTTCTTTCTTAGAGAACAGCTGATGAAAGAGCAGAGCAAGTTCAAATGTTGAGTGAAGACATACGTCAAAGGGACAACCGGATAAAGCAGTTGGAGAAAGCCATTCATGATCTCCAGTATGCTGCTGAGTGAGTACAGTTATTACAACAAATGCATTTCAACTTCTGCTATATTAGAAGCTTCACAGTGCTGTAAAAATTTCTGAAGCTCAAGATTGCTTGTTTCGGTAATTTCTGACTAGGCCTTCACACAATTTTTAAAGTTCACTACACTTTTTTGGCATCTTTGAATGTGATACTGCCTTTGGACCTTGAATATGGTCTCGCATAGTAAAGTTGTTGTATAGTTGCAATGTTTTTAACTTTGCCACTGATTTTCAAAGGCAGTGTCACAGTTAAGGGGGAAACCATCCAATTCAACTAAGATGGAACTTTTGACAGGCCATCATAACTTCTGACAAAGCATAACTAGCGAGTAAGTTCGCAGTTTGAAATTTAGCTGGCTTTTTGCTTCCCCCTTTTCTCAGATGATACGTATTTATATGTATCTAATTACAATATGTAATACTCTTCCATTACTACGTAATGCTTTATCTAGACCAGTATATTTTAAGCTAACTACCACTCAATCAAGGGCACTGGAAGAATGTCTTGTACAACTTAAATACGTCAGAAATAACTGTGGCCCCATCTTGGGCCTCGTGCACTGCACAGTTTTACTTGAGCGGCGACCGATCTGCACGGAATTCTACATCCCTGCAAATCCTCTTGAATTTAAAAATGAGGCAAGCACGACTGTGGGTGCCTGACACTCGAGCGTGCTGGCCGAGCTGTTGGAGGCTGGTACGACCACCGACTTGTACCCCGGCCGACAGTCGCACCTGCCGATTGTCCTCGGCCTCGCACTGGGGTCGGACCACAGTTCTGGAGCGGAGTCGCTCCGCCCCTCGCGGCCCCGCCGCTGGGGGACGAGCCACTGGCCCAGCGGGCAGGGCCCCTGGGTGTACAGGGAGTAGCACGTCCCATTGAACACTATGGCACGAGACTTGGACTCGCAGTCCCGCGGCACCGTCCGCGACTCTGTTCTGGACTCTGTCCGTGGCACTGTCCGCGACTCTGTCCGTGGCACTGTCCGCGACTCCGTTCTGGACTCTGTCCGCGACTCTGTCCGCACCGTGGCCGCACTGCGCTTGACACCCTCCGCGTCCTTGTCGGCCGCCACACTGCACCGGTTGTCCTCGATGGCCTTCCCGGAGATGTCGTTGGAGCTGCACAAGAAAGACCCCGAGCGTTAGCTTACTGTGCGAGCGGCAGGGAAGCCCCGCCAGTTGGGCTGCCTACCTCCCCGGCGCGGTACAGCGCGGCGCGGACTCACCTGAAGCGCGAGGCGGCGTTGGGGCCGGTGCAGCCGCACATGCCTCGGTAGGAGATGCCCTCGAGCGCGGGCCGCACTGCCGTCTCGAAGAGCACGACCTGGCCCTTGGGGCAGGGCCCGCGCACGCCCACCTTGTAGCAGTTCTTGTCCTCCGGGAAGTAGAGGCGGCCGGGGCGGCACGGCGCGGACACGCACTCCGACTCGTCCGACAGCAGCTGGCCCGCAGGGCAGGGCCCGCGCGTCCAGGGCCGGTAGCAGGCCTCGGCCTCCGCCGAGCCGCCCTCGGGGGTCGCCGACGGCCTCGGCCAGGGGACGTGGCCGCCCTTGCAGCGGCACTGCGCCTTCCGGCCGCCATGCGTCGAGAAGCGATGCCCGGCCGGGCATGGACCGATGGTGTCTGTTTGGGCGAGACAAAAGTTGCGTTAAGTCCTATCAGTCTAAATCGAGATTAGTGAAATAGGGAGTTGTAGTTGTGAGCCTGGTTAAGAATTGGGATGGAGCTTTGGCCCACCCCTACCCCTTGCACTGCTTGCACGCACCGATCTGGTAGCACTGGCCGGTGGCGGAGTGGTAGTGCGGCAGGTCGGGGCTGCAGCCGCACTGGCCGCCGCCCGGACCTGCGGGCAGGAACAGGAGGCCCTTCTCCTGGCAGGGGCCCGGCGTGTAGTGCTCGTGGCAGGTCTTGGTGAGCGGCGAGTAGAAGCGCGCTAGGTCGCCGCGCGGCTCGCAGCGGCAGGCCCCGAGCGGCGCGCCCGCCGCGGTCCTGGACGCGTTGACGGCCACCAGCAGCTCGCCGCGGTAGCAGGGGCCGCGGGACAGGCGCGGGTAGCAGCGTCCGTCGCGCGGCCAGAACACGTGGCCGACGGGGCAGGGGTCCGGGGCGCGGCAGGCGCCGCGGAGGTCAGGCACCCTGTAGGGGCAGTCAACGTCGTCATGAGCACGGGGAGAGAGAGGTACCTGGTCGGGCAGGGAAGTAAGGCGGATCTCTCACCTGTCTTCGGACGCTGCGGGCGGCGGCAGCGGCGCCAGGTACTGGCCCTGCGGGCACGGGCCCTGCTCCAGCAGGGGGTGGCACTGCGCGCCCGCACCCTTGGTGGCCGCGCCCCTGAGCGCCAGCCCCGGCGGGCACCGGCAGCCCGGGGCGCCGCCCGGCCCCACGCCCGGGGTCAGCTCCATGCTGGGTGGGCACGGGTGCCCGCGGCGGAAGATGCGGTAGCAGCGGCCGTCCGCCGGCCAGAGCAGCAGCTGCCAGCCGCCCGGCTGCGAGGCGCACGGGTTGTGGCGCGGGTCGGCCCAGGACGGCGGCACCACCGCCCCCAGCGCCAGCACGGGCCGCCCCCACGGGCCCCGCAGCCCCCACGGCTCCAGCAGCACCAGCAGCGGCAGCAGCAGCGTCAGGAACATGCCCTGCAACGAGAGGAACAGGATGAGCGGCCGTCCGGAAGGAGATGTCCTAGGACATGCGTCCTCTTTGTCGAGCATCCCGCTGGGCTGTTCGAGCTCCGGAGGTTCCGGGTGCCACGTCTGACGAGCACGCTGTTCGAGCTTCTGAGGTCCCATAGGTGACACGTTCCCTTTGTCGAGCACCTCGCCGCCGTTCGAGCTTCTCAGCAGGTCCCGGGTGACACGTCCCCTTTGACGGGCACCTGGTGGTCGCGCGGTGCAGCTCGGCTCCCCGCATAATTAATGACTGTCTGCCGCCGCAGTCGCGCTTTTGTCGTGATGGCGGGCCCTGCGGGGGTGATGCAAGGCGAGGCCCTGCCGCTGCCGGGCCGGGCTCGCCTGCTGCAGCAGGACGTCACACCCGCGTCTCGTCGCGTCGCCCCGTCATGCTTCGGGGAAGAAGGAGGCGACTATGTCACTGCTTCCTCTGCTCTTGAGTGGTGGTGCCCGGCTTGCTTTAGGAGGTCCCCACCGTCCCCCACGCCGCGTCCCGCCCGCACTGATCGTCGGCCGCCAGTGTGCGCCTCGTCCGTGCACGGACGTGAGGGGCTTTTGCACTTCCTCGTCCGTGCTGTAATTTTCGTACCGTGTAGGGTAAGTCTGCTGTGGAATATTTTTCCTCGCTGATCAATGGTAGGGAGTTGGAAATTATATGGACTGTTGTTAGCAACCCTACTCAAGCCAACGTGGGATTAAATATTAAGACGCCGTTTTAAGTAAGTTTTAAGCCAGTTCTTTTCCGTTCGCTGATGGGGTTGATATGTTGTGATTCTCGCCACTAACGGGGACGCGCGCTTCCCTCTTCCTGCCACGCCCCGCCATTCTCTCTAATTTTGATGAAAATAATCTCGCGGCATTTCGTAAGGCCGCTTGCTTATTGATCGGGCCGGTGATTGGCGGTTCGAATGCAACGAGGATGGAGTGACAACACGGTGTGTCGTGGTGCTGGTGGCGCAACCCGTGCCGGTTAGGCCCTCGTGGACGCCGCGCCGCGCCGCGCCACGCCACGCCCTGACCCGACCCGACCGGAGCTGCAACCTGCTGCTCGGGCGGTGCTCGCGCCTCAGATGGGACGAGATTGGACTCGGGAATCAGCTGCTCCGCGGAAGTGTTTGTGGCCTTGAGGAGGCAGGGGCAGGGAGGGGTGGAGCGGAGAGCGGCCGCCCTGAGCAGGGCCCGCCTCTGGGCGCAGCGGACCGCGCCCTGCTGGCCTGGACCCGACCGGCTCCGTGTCGTCCTGACCGCGTCGATTTAGATTAGAGCGGATGCACTTAATAAAATTACAATATTTACGCGTCAAACCCCCTAAGGAAGTATTAAGTGTTCTCATACGTTATTATTTTCGATAGCGACACTTTCTTAATCAAGTCCCGCTTGCTTCCACGTCATCATTGGATAGTTCATTCCAGTGGGTCGGACATTGAGTATTCTAGCAGGTGCTAGCGGTGCTTTGTTATTTACTTGAACGCGTTGCATCCCGTAGTCCGTCGACTTTTCTTACCATCGTTGACCGTAGCTCCTTGTGTCACTATGCAAAGTTTCTTGAATTGAGCCCCTTTACTGCGGTGTTTTGAGTTGAGAATTGAACCAGATTCGCCCAGCAGCTCGACAGACTCTTTGATGTTACCGAAGCAGGTCGCGTGCAGTTTTGTGCCCGCGATGATGCAGCGACGCACGTCACCTTGAGTCGGGTTTACAGCAGTAGCAGTTAACGGCGAAACTGCGATAAGTCGCAGCAAAATTCTTTACATTTAGAAATGTTATTTTTAGAGGAACAGCAGGCGGAGGGCTCGCCGTGGAAGAGGAAACGTGGGCAGCAGCGGCGACGAGGAAGTCGGGAGACTGCCGAACCCTACGCGGCCCACGTCGCTCGCGGCGAGATGGGCAGCCATCCCGACCCGAGTCCAGACAAAATTATGGATTCCGACGACGAGTCGCAATAACAACAACAGCAAAAAATCAAGAGTCTGGAACTGGTCGGCTGGGCCCGGCTGGGCCTGGGCCGGGGTGCTGCGCACCTAGTAGGACCGATGCAGCCCCGCCACTCCTCAGTCGTTTTATTATGTCGCCCAAATGAGGCAATCCCCCCGCCTCCCCCTCCCGCTCCCGCTCCTCCTTCCAGTCGGCACGCTTCCGCCAGGCCGGGGCAGAGTGCGCGGCGACAAAGCCCCCTTCTCCGGGGGTCACTCGGGCCCCAGTGCTTGCACAGCCTCCCGCACGGAGCAGGGCCGCCTGCACTGTTTGTGCTTGTGCTCCGCCTCAAGGGGAGTGTACCTACCATCAATGACCGCGCGTCCTCAAGGCCCCGTGCGAGTAGGCAACCAGACGGCAGATGTGTCGGGCGGGTTTGCCTATCACTAAGGCCCCGTGCGAGTATGCAA